ACCCAGAAACACATGTACTTCTCGTGTTTGTGGGTACTTTTTTATCAACGGTGTGGGGATTTTAATCTGTTTATACAGTCATGGGGACCTGTGTCCTTAGGGTATATGCTGGAAAAAGTAAGGGAAAGGGTCTTGGTTAGGCCACATAGAATGAATGTAAGTCAGTGCCATAAGTCACGAAAACCTGAATGTGTGTTTGTGTGTGTGTGTGTGTGTGTATCTTGCTGCTTTTAGGTGTTCATCTTGAGCTAATTCAAATCTTAAAATGTTCAAAATGTTCTGTTTAAATACTTTTATAGATTTTGTGAACCCACATATCTCACATAATCTGCTCCCTCTGCTTGTCGGTTTCTAAACAGAGGTCACACATTTTAAAATTATAAATTACTTTGGACCATTTAGCTAAAGTTTTGCCTCTGGTTTTGAGTTTTGCATAGACTTTAGATATAAATCTAAACCGTAATTTGAATTAAGAGTTCTGACTTTGCCATTCTTACTATGAACTTAAAAATAATTGAAGTTCAGCTGCAAATTCTAACCTCAACATTGCATTCATGGTTTTCTTTTGTCATTTGCAATTAAATGACAAGGAGACAATTCAAAAGGATCTCTTAAGTACTAATGTTTTTTTAATATCAGTTAAAGCCCCTAATGGTCTCTTTCAGCTTTCCATACTAGTCTTTTTGGGAAGGAAAGTCTTTCTTCTAAGCCCTTCTTCTGTTCAAATAATACAATAATCTATCCAGTTAAGATTAGATATGTTCCACCTTTAAAAAAAGAAAGAAAAGTCAAGACAAAATCAGTAGATGGAATATGAGTTCAGATTTATTGTAGCTTTTTGTTGGTACACTCCATAATAAATCTGGTAGTTGCAGTCAGCCTTATGCAATTACACTTTACAGTTGTTAAATGTGGAAATGTAGGTGAAGCATGATCACAGACACCATGTAATTATAACATTGGAGATCTCATGACATATTCATACGTGAATAGAAACTTTAGATAGAAAAGTAAAAAAAAAGGATTCTTAAAATAAATCAACTGGTGTATTACATGTGGCTGCTTTTGAAGACGCCAGGCTGCGCAGAAGGACTTGTTTGAGACATCAGAAGATACAAGGAGTATGAGGTGTGAGCCTTAGATTTAGGATTAGTAAACCTCTCTACTCATCAAGTACAAAGCTAGTCTTTGTTTTCTGTTTTTGTGCAGCAGTAGTTGCGCTGTTAGGATATGTTGCTATAACACTACAAGTATTCTCTTGTCTGTACAACAACCTATCCGGCAACCAGAAGACAGCCAGGCTGACTGATGAAAAGAAGACAGGGCTTACTCACATCTCTGCATCTCTTTGTCTATGGTTTTACAAGCTCTCTGTCTTAACTTGTATTGGTTTGCTAGCTCCAAATTTTTATATGTCAATGCATTGGTTGTAATAAGCACATTTCTTAGATGACTCTGTGAGGGAAAAGGGGAGAGTGTGGGTCATAAGGGAGAATTAAAGGGTACAGAACAAGGGAAGAACAATGGAGACCAGAACTTTTAATATCGGATCCGGGAGGAAGAGAGCCTGGTGCTGCTTTTTGTGCTGATGACGCCGCCTCCTCCCATGCTCATGGAGCTCATGCTGCCACCATATCCACCGCTAAATCCTCCACCACCTCCCATTCCCATTCCCATTCCTGAACCAAAGCCGCCGCCCATGCCGCCTCCTGAGCCACCACCTGTTAAAGAGAACAACAAATTTAGAGTACAGTACATCTAACTTCCCTGTTTTCACTTCAATCATAAATATTAAACAATAGTGATAAACTTATTAAAAGATACATACCGAAGCTGCTGCTTGAGGACTGTACATGAACGGTTGCGCTTCCGCCTCCAGAGCCGATTCTGTAAATGATTAAATGAAGGATTCTCAGCAATTGCTTTCAACTTTTCTGATACTTTAGTGAGACCTGCCATAGACTACTAATGCAACTCAGATTTTACCTGGATTCCTCTCCTTCTAGAAGCTTCCTGTAGGTGGCAATCTCAATGTCCAGAGCCAGTTTGATGTTCATGAGCTCCTGATACTCACGGACCTGGGCAGCCATGTCTTGCTTGGCACTCTGCAGTGCAGCTTCAAGGTCCTTGATGCGGGCCTTGGCATCCTTTACCGCCAACTCACCACGTTCCTCAGCCTCAGCAATCTGAGCCTCAAGGTTGGCTCGCTATGTGGTTAGAATGAAATTACTTTATATGAAGGTATTCTCCCTTTAAAATCTTTCAAGATGCAAAGCTTTAATTCTATCAAATATTGTTACCTGTCCTTTGACTGCCTCAATCTCATTCTGGAGTCGGCTGATCATGCGGTTAAGATCAGCAATCTCGCTCTTTGTGTTGCGAAGTTCATCCCCAGCTTGTGTTGCACTGCTCTGCATTTCTTGGAACTGGGGAAATAAGTTGAGTAAAAAGGGTTAGTCCATATTTTTCAGACAGACATCCCATGCCACTTTGAGTATGGAGACTTTCTAACCTTCTGCTGGTACCACTTCTCAGCCTCAGCTCGGCTGTTGTTGGCAATCTCCTCATACTGTGCCCTGACTTCAGCCACAATAGCATCCATGTCCAATGTGCGGCTGTTGTCCATCTCCACAATTACTGAGGTGTCCTTGACCTGTCCTTGAAGCTCATTGAGTTCCTGAGTGCAACATGTAAAATTACTTGATACGCTAAAAATAATATAATGGAATAATAAAACAAATATCTACTTCTGTGTCCTCCAGGGAATTCTTTTTACCATTTCATAGAGAGCTCTGAGGAAGTTAATCTCATCCTGAAGAGCATCAACCTTAGCCTCCAACTCAATTTTGTTCATGTAGGCACCATCTACATCCTGAGAGAGAAAAAAAATAAAAATAAGTGGTTGAAATCGTTTTATTATTTATGAGGTACAAGACTGTAAGGCTATACAGCGACAAATTAAAAACTCACTTTCTTGAGGAGCACAAATTCATTCTCCACAGCTGCACGCTTGTTGATTTCATCCTCATATCTTGGGGGCAGATAAGAGAGAATGAATGGAAAATAATTTTGGACATAATCTAGTTTTATTATGTTACACCATTGCAGTCTTGCACTCACTTGTTCTTGAAGTCCTCCACCAGGTTCTGCATGTTCCTCAGCTCTCCTTCCAGCTTGACCTTCTCGTTTCCGAGCCCATCCAGCTGTCTGCGTAGGTTTCCAATGTAGGTCTCAAACATGCTGTCGATGTTAGAGCGACTGGTGGTCTGATCCTGCAGAAGGCTCCATTTGGTCTCCAGCATCTTGTTCTGCTGCTCCAGGAAGCGGACCTAAAAAAAAATAAATAAATAAATAAATTCACGACTCTTAGAAGTTCCTGGGGCTGAAAAACGTCTTTTCCACTTAGGTTGGACATGCTTGTTTGGAAGCTGAATTTTGCTGTTTGCAGCTGAATTGTGTTAGGTTCCTTTTTATGGTTGATTTCCCAACAGAAAACACTTTTGTGTATAAAATACTGCCAGTTGCTATATTTACTTCCCCCTCAAAGGAAGGAATGTTCAATATGCTCTATAACCTCATTCTAGGGTGACTGAAATGAGTGTCTGGATAGGGCTTCTGTAACATGACTATACTAGAAAGGAAAAATCACATAATTTTCCCTCGTTGAAGTGCTCAAATCCAGTTAATTTAATTATCTTTTGTGTAGGTGTGAGCCCTAGTTTATGGTGCCACACCTAAATTCAGCCCCTCCCTTAAACACCTGACAATGATACCGCTTAGCCTACAGGAGGCATACTTTCACTTAGTTTACATCCCTGCCTTAAAACCTCAGCAAATAAATCTATCAGTGTGACCTGGCAACCAATTTTAAATATTACCAGACATGCAAACTGATGAGGAAAGACAAGAATTTTGGAATTGCTATTTTAGACCTTTTTTTGTGTAGTCGTGTTTAAAGTCTTGATAACATCTTCTATGTAAGGTGTGGTGTTTACACAGCAGCACAAGGCAGTCTTGCACTTTCTCACACAAGGTGTGGCTCTTTTTCTTTACTCATGCAAACATACACTGTAACTTTTGCAAAAGCAATCATCATAATATACAGTAAATTTCAAGCATGATTATAGTTAATTTGTACAAACATGTTTAGCAGAATACATCTGGATTTAACAGAATCAAGTCCCCTTTTTACATTAATGAAGAAAGTCTGCAGCACCATGCTGTCATGGGTACAATAGTTAGCCTCTTCTCATATTGCCCTAACACTGAAAGCAAACAGTCACTGGATATAAGCATTCTAGAGTTTCCTGCTTCCTGCTCTGCATACAGACGACTGGGTAACAGGCCCGTTATGTCCAAATGAAACTAAGTAAGAAGAGGTCAGCTTACAGTTTGTGAATAGATGCACATCATCATGTTAAGGACCCCCATTGAGATAATGCAGGCCTAGTCTGTGACTATGTATTAGTCAGTTAGGCTTTGAGCGTGCTTTGTACTCAAGCTTAGAAAAGTTACAGTGCAATGCTTAAAATGTCAGAGAAAATTTACACTAATACCTTAGTTATTTCTATAGTCTTGACAGAAGGACAGATACAAGAGACAGTTAAATAACATACCTTATCAATAAAGCTGGCGAAGCGGTTGTTAAGAGTCTTAATCTGCTCTTTTTCCTGGGTCCGGACAGTCTGGATAGTGGGGTCGATCTCAAGGTTCAGGGGAGATAGCAGGCTCTGGTTGAACTGCACATTTGTGATGGTAGCAGGTGCGAAGCCACCACCCATACCTCCAGCACCACCAAATCCACCGCCGCCAAATCCTCCAGCACCACCGCCAAATCCAGCACCACCGCCATATCCAGCACCACCTCCAAAACCTGCACCACTGCCATATCCTCCACCACCACCACTGCCAAAAGAAACACTACCACTGCTAAAACCTGACCTTGACATGCTTGCTGTGGAAGCTTGAATTGGTCTAAAGGAAATAGCAGATCTTGAGGAAAAGCCACCTGAGGCACGGCCACCGCCAAAACTTCCACCGCCAAAACTTCCACCCCCACCATAGCTGGTCCTGGTTGTCTTTACGCTCATTGTTCTGGATGACATGGCTGGTCTAGTTACTTCTAAGAAGTAGTTTTACAGAGAAAAATAAGAGAAGCAGAGACAGAGAGAGGTTTGGCAGAGATGTGGAGCACACTAAGAGGAGAGCCAAGTCCCTCTAAGTGCCTTCTCTCTGTGAGGGATGCATATTTATCTGTCTCCAAGGGAAGGAGGTGCCGATAAGCCCAGCCTCCTATGGACCTCCTCCTGGAAAATGCTCCAACTACCTGGACCTTTGAAGGTGCTCTCACAGGCAGGTGATGCTGGCTTGGAGCCACTCAGCCTGACGGGCATGTAACAGTACCGCCTTGTAAGGTGATCTGGGCTTGACACACCCAGATCCTCTCACAGGACGAGGGGAGGATAGGCATTTGGCAAAGCTTGTTCTAGAGGATGAACGAAGGGCTTTCAAAGAGGTGTGTGAGGGCGGAGGTCCTTATTACATACTCATGCCGGACTTTTTTCTGCTGTTTATCTTTTTGCAAGAACAAAGTTAAAATTTTAGTTTAAATGAATGATCTCTTTTTAGAAACTTTATTTTAACATGATATCAAATTAGATGAGTAAGATCCAACATAAGGTCTCAGTTTTTTTTATCTTTTTTACCACCTTCTGGTTCTCACTCAGAATAATTTTGAATGATGACCCCACAAGTGGCATACATTACAATACAATAAAAATCAAAACAAATTAAATAACTTAAATAGTTTTTGTATCCGTTTTTAATTGCTGTATCAGTGTTAGAAACAATAGTTATATGTATTAAAACTTTGATCAAATTTGTATAAAATAAAACATTACAAGCTTTGAGTAAAAAAATATTTGTGTAAATTGTCTTTGAAATTAATCTTTTAGTAGTAAGGCAGGTGCAGTTCATCTCAGGTGCTTTCTCATAGTTTGACATGTTCTAACTTTGCTCATTTCGACTATGATTTTATAGGACAGACGAATAAAAATAAATTTATAACTTAGAAATAGAAATCAAAGCTTTCAAAAATGTTTTAATTTCCAGATTCCATGAATTTTGTGGAACATTTCATCCAGCCTCTGTGGGTTAAGCCTTTGCAGAATCAACCTTAGCTGGTAAGAGTTGCAAGATTTTTGGGAACTCTTTTTTTTTTTGTACATTTATGTGCCACAAAGGATCCTGACCTCTTGCTCTGGACTTCAACTACATCCTTTATTCAAAACCATTTCACTTCATTGCACCTGGAAAGTGAATTCAATCTCTCTACTGCAGCTCCCTAAGAACCTTCCTCTAGGACTGTTCTATTATTAGCCCCATACAGTTTTCCATAATTTTGACCAGGGACCTTGCCCCTGCCTAAAAAAGCAATCCCACACCCTAATGCTGCAACAACAGTCTGGTGTGTTTAGGTGGACCCTTTAACCAACAGTGGTTTGCAAGTAGACAAGCAAGAATAATCTTGGTTATATTTGATACAATTATATTGCTTCCCAAGTTTACTTGGAAAATGGCAAACTTCAAAAGGTAATTCTTAGGGTTTCCTTCACCGATAGTTCTATTATTAACACACTCCTCCATAAAACCCATATTTTACTCATGTTGGGTGCATGACAAGTTGTCCTGTTGAAATAATTCCACCTCAACCACAGTTCCTCCAGAGATGGTGCAGTTCTCTATACTACCTCCGATTCATGGTTCTCTATTTTCTGACCGTTTAGTTAGATGGTCATGTTGTGGTTAGTTTTCATTCATGCTATACTCCTACCATGTATGGATGATGGAGAGAGTATAGCTTTGGGGGGTGTTCAAAATTTTAACCTAAGCCTTGTCAGGATTTGTTTGAGGGTTGAAGACCCATATGCAGAGGCAGAGAGGCAGAGGTGATTTCTTGGAGTTTAATGAGGGAAAAAAATGTAAATAAAGGCAGGAATCCAAAAATCCAACTAATAATGTTAAGCAAACCAGAACTATGGAGACATCTGGAGAAACCAAACAGGAGGAGCCAGGGAGAGACGAGGTAGTTAGACAACAGCATGGGAAGACAGCAAAAACAAGGAACTAACAAGGAGTGACAGAAGAGGGAGAGTATACGTAGCTGACTGAGACAAAGGCAGGGTTAACGAGCGGATAAGGAGCAAATGTGAGTAAAGACAACGAGGAAGCCAAGGGGAAAGGAACATACACAAGAGGGAAAAAGAGTACAACAACATAAAAACCTGAGAACTAACATAAATCTAGAAACTACAACAAAATAATAATTAAACCAATAAAACTAGAAAACAAGGAGCAAAGTAAAACACAACATAACCAAGATCATGACAACCCTGCTTTAAACTGGATCTTCTTGATGCTATTTTTTCTTTAATTTTTCCTAGCAAACCCCTGAGATCTTCGTGTAGCCACTTGAATTGTACAGTAAAGTTCACAAGTGGATCATATTCACTTAGTGACTGTTTAAGCTTCGTTCTAATGCAGAATTTCTTAGTGTTTATCAAAGTAGCCAATAAAGCTTTGGAGAAGGCTCCTTTAAGCTGGTAACGAATTTGCTCAACCTATGAACCACACATTTATTTTTATTAACTATAAAAACAACTAATGCACAACAACTAATAAAAATTTAAGAAATTATAATTCTCTGAGTTTAAGATTTGCCTACAGCTAAACGGCAGCCAGGGGGAAAGCTACTAAAGTTCTTGTTCTGACAGATCTGGAACTGCCAATACCTGTTCAGAGCTTTACTAACAACTCAACTAAAGGATTGCCCTCACAGACTCTACTACAGTGCATCAGAATAAGCTTTAGGGCATAACAGAGTCACGCCCCTGAAGAAGATGCCAGCATCTTGTTCTTACACTCTGAATTTTCTTGGCAAAGAAGAAACTGAGGACTGTGGAAAGTGTATCATGCATTAGAAACTGCATTTATTACAAATATTTAAGATTAAGTCAAATGGATATTTTATTAGTTATATAAAGTATCCAAATCAACTTAAAGCAAAATATTTTGCATGGTTTGTTCTTTCACCTACTGGCAGGGACCCTTGTTAGGGACTGGGGAAAGTCCTCTAACCCAATGACAAAGCAAACATACAATCATGCGAGTATGTGTGAGCAGCAGGATAATAACCACGTAAAAAAGAGATCCAGATCTATTACTCTGGTAAATTTAGCTAGATTACATAAACCATCATCTGTTATAGTTTAATGCAGGGGATTTCTTTTTTACATGTTTTACATCTGTGATTCTGTATTTATTTTTAATTATTGTTTAAAGATATAAAGGTCCCTTTTGCCCTCCCTGCAATGTCCCATGATTTAGAGGCAAACAGCTTAGAATGTTGTATATCAGGCTGTGCATACTATATTTATATCTCCATGTCTCCCTAAAAATGTTGGTGTTTTCCCACAATAAAAGGGATTGAAAAAGCATTGCATTGTCTAATGCTCCCTTTTTTCCCCCTTTTATTCTTGTCTCATTGCACAACCTCTGGTTGCTTCTACAAGCTTTGAGTGAAGGGCAATACATTTGAGAGAGTAAAATATGTTTTTTTACCTTACTAAACAATAAATTCAATATACATTTTTGTAAATGCCAATTTGATATTTTCCAGGAAAAAAAGCTATCTGGCAATAAATGGAAAGTATTTGCCTTCCAGTGCTAACCCCAAGTCCTTTAAGAGATAAAGCACTTTTGAAATTGTTCACACCTTAGGCTTTCTGTGCTCAAAATTCTCATTCTTAGCTCTTGTGATTTACCTTTCAGCAGCTGACAGGTAAAATGTACAAAAGTAGACCAATGCATCATCAGCATTGCCTCTTGGCTAAACTCTACATCACTCATCACATGTCACATATTTGATAAAATCTTTTATGGTCCATATATAGATTTGTCAAATAAGTCAAAACATACTTTTGGGAAATCTTCAAAGCTAATAGAGCTATTCCGTAACTTTGTGACTATAAAGGCTCCATACTACACTAGTGCTAAAAGTTGTTTGTGTCAGCTAAAAGCTGACACAAATAAGAGGACTATAAGGTCTAATGATATAAAAATTAATTAATGTATGACATGTCAGACTGAATATTTTAATCAGATTCAGTATGATTAGAAAGAAAGAGAGAGGATTTTTTCCAATCACCTTTGATGTCCATGTACACACCCACTCAGATCTTTGGAGTAAAATGATATCCACTGCACATGTCTGCACCTTTACCATGGGATTTTTATCTTTATTTCTAACCTTCATCCACTTTCCCATGGTCTTTGGTGGAGGAGTTGGCAATCTACTGAGGCCCCGTCCACACGAAGCCGAACCCTGGCCTAAACGCACAAATTTTTCACCAAACCAGCCTCTCATCCACACGAAGCCGGCGTTTCGGGGGTCTGTAAACAATCTTTTTTTTTATTCAGCCTTCAGAGTGGGAAGATTCTGAAACGCCGTTTTCGCGTTTCCATCTTTAAGCTCTAACCGCATTTTTTTTTTACACGCATGCGTCATAGCGTCGCCTCTAAACACGCATCTGCGACACAGTATCACAACAACAATGGCGCCGTACTGTGTTGAATGGTTGCTGCTCATGCTACTCACCCTGCTGTCGGGCTTACAACAGAATCTTCTTCTTCTGGAATATCTCCAGGAAGAACAGAGCAATATAGATGACATAGTTCATCACCTGAATTTGACTGAACCACGAAAATGGACCCGCAGGGCAAACATGTATAAATATTAGTGCGCATGCCCAACATTTCGTCGCCTATTTTTGCTTTGGCACGACAGCGCCACTTACAGGCCTGGCATACATTTTGCAGCGTTTTTATGTATTCGTGTGGACAATCACATTTATTTTACGTCTCCGTCTTTACGACAAACGTTCTGGAAAATATTAGCGTTTCGTATTCGTTTTGACTTCGTGTGGACGGGGCCTGAATGCAATGTGAAATGAACATTATTCCCTCTAACCCTGTAGTGAAGGAGCGTTAGCATAAATTATTGCTAAGCTTTTAACTAAAATGACCACCCACAACAAAATTATGGATAAAAAAATGCAACAAAGGTCCATAATGGAGAAAAAAAAAACTACATTAACAGACACAATGAAGAATTGAAGATAAGGAAATGTGAGGGAGAAGCACAACATGTAGCTAAAGATGAGC